CTGAGCTGTGTTAGTGTTACATACATGAGTGATTCCTTTGTTTCTGTTACTGAGTAGTATTCCATTGCCTGAACATACCAAGTTTGTTCATCCATTCTCTTGCTAATAGACACTTGGATTATTTTCAGTTTGGGGCTGTTGTGCATAAACCTTTTATTAAACATTTTTATTGAGATATAATTCACACACCATAACATTGACTCATTGAAAATGTACAATTGAATAATTTCTTTTAGTATATTCAGAATTTTGCAAACAGCACCCCAGCACAAGTTTAGAACCTTTTCATCACCCCAGAAACTAACCCACAGCCATGAGCAGTCACGCCTCAGCTCCCAGCCATTGTAAACCACTGATCTACATTTTGTCTGCATAAATTTGCATAACCGAAGGTTATGAAGATTTGCAAGTATGTTTCCTTCTAAGAACTTCATAGTCCTAGCTCTTACATTTAGGTTTGTGAACTATTTTCTGTTTCTTGTGTGTGGAGTGAGTTAATGGTACAACTTCCATTTTTATACATGGGTATATCCAGTTCTTCCAACATCACTTGTTGAAAAGCCCATTCACCCCCGCCATTGAATTATCTTGATACTTTTGTCGAAAAAGCAATTGGCCATAAACATGAGGTTTATTTCTGGCTTCTCATATTCCCTTAATCTGTATATGTATCCTTATGCCACATCGTATTTCGATTACAGTAGTCCTGGAGTAAGTCCTCCAAATTGTTCCTCTCTTTCAAGATTGTTTTAGCTCTTCTGGATTTCTTTCATTTCCATATAGGATCAGCTTGTCTTCCTACAAAAAAAAAATTCTAAAAGCCAGCTGTAACTGAGACAGGAATTTTATTGAATCTAGAGATCAATTTGGAAAGTACTTCCCTCTTAAAAAATAATCTTTAATAAATCAAGTCTCCCAATCAGTGAACACAGAATGTCTTGCTGTTTATTTGCTTATACTTCCATCAGCTCTCTTGGGTCTCCAACCTGCAAACTCACCTCTTTATTTAGGTCTCTTTTAATTTCTTTCCATGATGTTTTCTAGCTTTCGGTTACATATCTTGCAATTCTTTTGTTAAAGTTATTCCTGTTTTATTTTTTGATGTTATGCAAATGCAATTGCCTTCTTAAATTCGTGTTTGGATTACTTATTGCTAATGTATATAAATGTAGTTGATTTTCATCTACTATCTTATATCCTGTAATCTGCTGAAATATCCTATAATTATTTATTAGCACTTATAATTTATGTGTGGAGAATTTTCTACATGAAAGATCATGACATCTGCAAAAAGACATAGTTTTGCTTTTTCTTTTCCAATCTGGATATATTTCTTGTTCTTGCCTTTTCCTTTCCTGCCAAGAACCTTCAGTACAATATGAATACAAGTGGAAAGAACAGCCATCCTTGTCTTGTGCCTGATCTTAATGGGAAAGCATTTTGTCTTTCACTATTAAGTATGATGTTATGAACATCCTTGAACAAGTTTTTTATGGACTGAGATCTTCATCTAGCTTGAGATCCAGAATTCCTGGATCACTTTTTACAAAGAATTGTCAAACTGTTTTTCAAAATGGCTTTTGTACCCAACCATCTTTTAAATTTCTCATTATATGTTATCTATCATCTCAAGGAGTTCTGGAAGACAGGAAGAACCCCCGTAACTGTATTTGTGCTGCACCTTAATGAAATCTTGCTAGTGGTAGACTCAACAAGTCTGTGACCCTCCAGTTTTTAAGGGACAATTCTTTCATTTTCCACTTTAATTCATTCCCTTTTGAGCTCACTCCTTGGCCATTGCACCAATCTTCTCAAACTCCTCCAGTCATTCCCCAAGAGGAGCCCAGCTCAACCACAAAATGCACTGTCTGAACCACTGTTCACTCTATTTGCATGATGTTTGCATGGTGATGTCACTAAAATGAGGAGAATCCCTCTAACCAAGATAATCACGAGGAGGTGTTTGTACAGTCCAGTCTTGATGCAGATCTTTTGCCTGCCTGGCCAGTCTCCAGTTATAGGTTTGTTATATCTCCCGTGTGATCAAAAGAATGCAGGCATTCCGTAGCCTCCTACCTGCTATCTTGTACCATTTCATACCATAAACTCTGCTACTTCTCACCAGGACTGACGTCAGCACCTTTTTCAAAGGTGAGAGGAGTAGGCGGACACTCATTCTGATATGATACCTGCCTTGAATTTATTCCTCTTTTGGCCTCCAGAGCAAAGTTGTATAAAAGTGATGATAGCAGGCATTTGTGTCTTCTTTCACTGCTGCCTGGAACACCTCTGAGTGCTCCCTGAAGCATTTTGAGCTGAGATAGATATATTTGCTCATGGTAGTAAAATATTACTACATTCCTGTACTTCTATAGTATTCTGTCCTGACTATAGTCAATATGATTTTTCTTAGTGTTCATCCTTGAATCATTAAGTATGCTCATCTCAAGTCCATGTTTGTGCATGTGCCGGGGACAGTGGGGGGTAGGGGCAGGTGATAGTTTTGCAGGCTGGCTGTTTTCACAACCCAGTGACTCTCTTTTCTCCTGCCACAGAAAAGGACTGCCACCTGCCAATTCGAAATTGAGCAAATCTGCCCCCTCTGATTTTTCTGAACCAAATTGGGGCTAGGAGGGCCAGTCCTGTCCGTGTCTACTCTTGCACCACAGGGTGCATGAGGCCAGGCCTGTTTCCAGGGCAGGTGGAGGTCTGTCTGCAGGACATGGCTCTTCTCCGCCTCCCATACAGATTTTCCCCAATAGTGGCTGCTTTTAGTAGACCTCACATACACTGTATGGTCTGGAAAGTCTCTCACTCTCTCCAAGACTGATTGAAAGTGGACTGCCTTTTGTTTTTTAATGCATTCAATTTCTCAGAGAAGATGAAAATGCAGAGTTCTGCAGCTCTATGTTCATACCAGAAGTCTAAAGGACCTTGTGACCCAAAGACCACCCACTAATTTCTGGAATTAGGAGGCAATTTAATTAGTCTTTTGAACTCTGTCACACAAAGTGTTTTATGAAAAACACAATGGGGGTTTTGGAGAGAGGACTGGTGAAATTTGTGTAGTGAAATAGAAACTTGAATTGCCAGTATAGAACACTTAGCTAAGAGATAAGGAAATTCACTCATTCACTAAAAAATTACTGAATGATTTTTCTTCATGCTGGGCATTTTGATGGGCAGTTAGGTGGTTCTTGCTGGTAGAGTTAGTCCAATTCATGATTGGATTATTGTTTCCCCACACCTGTTTCTTAGGGTAATAAAAGCCACCTTGTCTACTTTAAGAGGCTGAATTGAGTTTCAATATATGAAAGCATTTCGTGGATTTTCAATCCTCTGAAAGGGGAACTTGGAGCCACATAAGCTTCTAAGGAATTAAATACTGCGACCACAAAAGTGGGTGGAGCTCATGTCTGGTTCTGAGCCCAGAAAGTGCCTGACCAGCACAGGATACAGGGTATCAGGCTGTGGTACCGCCGAGGGTAGAGGCGCACTGTGAGCACAACAGCGAGTGGCATGAGGGAAGACGCCTCAGGATTGGGGTAGGCAAATTATGGGAGCGAAGGTGAGACTGACTAGTGGAAGCATAGGAACCCGGAGTCTAAGCGGGTTGCCGGTTAGAAGCAAGGAAGGACATCGCTGAAGCCTCCTCAGTTCCCCACAGCTGCCCCTGTGTGATCCACAGTTCCCGTTTTAGACTGGGGTTCCTGAAACAGACGCTGAGGTTGCATACTGGAGATTCCATGCGCAGTCCCCTGGCAAGGGCATGAAGGAAGTAGGACCGGGTAGCAGGGAGGCTGGACTGTGATGAAGGTGCAACGGAGGCCTCGGCTAAGCCGCTGGGAGGCTCTGGAGTTGGAATGGCCGGTCAGGGTTGTCCTGAATTAAGGCAAGGGGCACGTCTCTGATCCCCTCGTTATCCCAGCCCTGGGTCTGAGCTGCCCCCCAGGAGGACCAACCTGACAAGAGACTAGCTGAGCACTGTTGGCTGTCAAGGCTCCTGGCAGCTACGAAACTGTTGGGGGGGCCCCAGTGGGGTGTGTGCGGCGCCCTATAGCCTCCAGTGCGGTAGGCAGCTGACTCAGGAGCTCAAAACCATCGCCTTTTAGGGCTCTGGTTTGTCTTTAGTCTCCTCTTTCCCTCCTCTGCGCCTCTCTCCCAGCCTCCACCCATTGTCTCTAACTGCAGAACCTCCCCACCGCTCCCTGGTCACACACAGCCCTCAGCACACCTCCTGCCTCTTCAAACCCTTTCATCAACCCACCAGCTCCTTCGTCCCTACACTCCTTATGCAAGGCTTACTGCAAAAGCTAATTGTATCATGAAATTAGATATTGAATCCATTTCTCCTTCTTCTGGGGCTCCAAAGCATTTTGTTTGTAACTCTGTTACCATATCTGTCCTGCTGTCACTGTACTTGATCTTATGTTGGTGTTTCCCCTTGTCAGATTACAAATTCCACAAGGGCAGTGCTTACTCCTGTATCCTATTATTCTCTCCATAACCAAGCATCCTGCTTGGCACAAATAGGGATTAATTGCATCAAATATTCCAAATTGTTATGAGAGCTTCTCAGGAAAAAAATCTCCCTAAAGGTCTGAAGACTCTTCACCAACACTTCTATGTCTCCTTCTCAGGGGAAGCAGATGAAATTTCTTTATTCAATAGAATTCAAGTGCCTAGTAGGAGACAGATACAGACAGGCTGTTTCTTTTTACTCTTTCTGTTATTGTTGAGTAGAATTCACATACGTATAAAACTAGTCTTTTAAAAATGTACAATTCGGTGGCATGCAGCAAATTCCCCATGTTAGGCAGCTACCACCTCTGTATAGTTCTGAAACATTTACATCACCCGCAGAGCAAGCTTGTTTCTATTATTCTTAAACAAATTACAACTAAGCTGTGTTCCCCAGATGCTAGACAGGTAGCAGCGAGGAAGGAATGGGTCTAATGAGTTATGGTTAAACTCACCTTTTTGTGTAGGAACCATGCTGGTTGGCTTCCTCTGCTTCTGTTACTTAGCAGGAAGACACTTTTCAGTGTCCTGAGAAGATGGTGTTCAACTGTCACTAGAGGGTCTAGATCCCCATCCTGAGGGCATATCCCCCAAACTTTGGAATGAGGGAAGCCCTGAGAGCCTTGAGAAGATGGATGACCCCATCGGGCGGAGGGATGGAAGCTGTGGGACCATACTGCACCCTTGCTTAGCATTGTATGTGATGGGGAATAAGGGGCAGAAACCCCTTAGGCCATTCTTTGTCTTTTGGTATCCTGAAGTTTTTCAACTGTGATCAAATGAAGAAAATTCCAAGCTCTACCAGGAAAAGGGAGGCAGCCCCTGGCTGGGAAGATGCAAAACCACCCTTTATTGATGACCTAGAAACATGGATGCTTTGCATTAATCATCTTGTTTCATTAATTCAATCACTCTGAAATATATTCTGCTCTATAGATGAGAGGAAATTGAGGCTGAGAGAGAAGAGTAGCATGCTCTGGCTCACAAGGGAGTGCAGAGCTAGGGGTTTGTGGATGGTAGCCTGCCTGCAGAGGTTTCCCAAGGAAACACTGCCTAGAAGCCTGGCCCACCCCTCACTTCCCATCCATTCGGACTTCCAAGCGCAATACAACATGAGAGTGCCTTCTTCCTCCAACCCAAACCTCCCTACCCCCGACTCGCCCCCACTAAGTGGAGAGCGGGACAGTAAACCCTCTGATTGCCCCCCTTGGGTGAGTCCATGACATCTACAATGTGTGTCAAAGTGATGAGAGTGCCAGCAGCTTGGATTCTCAACCCCATTAGGAAATCAAACACAAATGTGATCAGGAAAAAAGGCAAGCTTATTTTATTTTTTCTATAAAGACAATCAATTTATCCTTTTAAAATCACCTTTCAGAAAATAAATTTTCTGGAAATGTATTCTTTATAAATGTAGAGCATGCAATAATATGTAACCTACAGAAGCATTTTAAACATGTTAATCCTAATTTGCAAGATAGGTTTTTGTTTTTGGTGGGATTACAGGTCTCCCCAGACATGGTTAAAATCTTTCCTTAATTTTGATTATGTAAAGCTGTAAGAACAGAGATTTATCTTAATGGGAGGTATAAATAATTAATTATATGATTAAAATGATTTGTAAGAAATGACTGAACTTTTGAATCATCCAAAAGTTAGACAGCAAGCCAATATTTTAAAAGAGAGGATAACACTTTCCACAATTTCATAATCTTTTGACAGTCATTTTTCTGCCACACCAGCAGTAACTTTTAGTTGACTATTCACTGGTTGGCAGGTGCTTCAAAATTATTAAGGAAGCTTTGCCACACTTCACTAGCTCTCATTATTTTTAGTTTTGAAGGCCCTGCTTGTAAACAAGTAAAAGACCCCAACTAAATGTATATGGGCCTACATGTTATTTTAAATTTTTGAATATTCATCTGTTGTAATTAAAACATGTCTACAAACATATGAAATTGTGTTTGAATTTCCACAAATATGTATGGACTTTTTAATGCCTTGTATGTTTGGAAATCAGACTGTGCTAATGCCTTCGTATTGTTTTACCAGTAATGAGCATAAAAAGTTTGGCTGTCCATTAACAAATAAACCTTTACAATCAAAGAACCCAGAGGCAGGTTCAATACTTCACTATTTGTGTCTGCAGACACCTGGCTTCATGGAGTACTCCATGCTTCAGAGATAAAACAGCCAAAGTTTTCTCTGTTCTTCCACAAAAGCTAACAAGTAATTAAACGGTCCATTTTTTGCAGCAAGAAATAGTGATTTATTCCATCAGTCAGTTCCCTACAATTCCCTCTGGAGACCCCCATCAGCTTGGGTTAGAAGGGAAAATCTTCTCCTTGCCAATGAACAATTAGCCTCATTGAAGCACTGCCCAGAATTCTCCTCAGGAATACTTTGCCCCTCAGGCAGGCCTGGTGCGGGCAAGTTCCCACCTCAGCCGGGCAGCTCTTGCAGCACTGAACCTGTACATGGCTGAGGAAATGCAGAAGGCCGGGTGAGAGGCCCATACTCTGCGTAGGATGCAAGTCTTTTTCCTGACACATACTCAGGAACTCTTACTAGAACACAATTTTAGGTAAGCTCTTAATTTGGGAAGCTACAAACTGTTTGCTGCATTTTCCTTTTTTACAGTGCATCATGGAGGTCATGATCCACAGTGGACTGTGTGTAAGATGAGCTGGGCATGTCAGGGGGGTACATCTGGAGGACCCTACAGTATTGGCAGAGCACAAAGGAGCCCCTGCAGGTTTTGAAGAGCTGTATGATGTACTTGCGGAATTTCTCCCCTAGGAAAAAGTAGATGACTGGGTTAAGGCAGCAGTGGACAAAAGCTAGGGTCTCTGTGGCCTGCATGGCATAGTCCAGGTGTCTCTCAAAGGCGCAGTCCTGAAGCACCTCCAGCTCCACCAGCATCTCCAGGAAGAGCACTATGTTGTAAGGTGTCCAGAAGCCGAGGAAGAGGACCACCACGGCAAAGATCATCTTCACCGCCTTGTTCTTCTTCTCGTTTTTACAGTGCTGCAAGGTCCTGATGATCATGGAGTAGCAAAACAGCATGATCCCCAGTGGGATCACCAATCCTAGAATGTTGATCTCTAGGGAGCTCAGAACCTTCCACCTGGAAGCATGGAGAGAGTACTTCGTTTTACAGTAGGTATGGTTGCGCTCTGTGTAACAAGTGCTAAATATAAAGCCTGGAAGGGAGGCAAATACAGCCACTGACCACGTGGCCACACTGGTGATGACCCCATAAGTCAAGGTCCTAGCTCTCAAGGAAAACACTGCATGCACAATTGCCAGGTATCTATCGATGCTCATGAGCATGATGAAGAAGATGCCACTGTAAAAGCCCACCAAGTACATCCAGGAAATAATCTTGCACAGACTTAGTCCAAACACCCATTGATCTGCAGCATAGTACCCCCAGAACGGGAGGGAGAGCACGAAGAGTAGGTCTGAGATGGCGAGGTTGAGCAGGTACACGTCAGTCATGGACTTGAGCCGCTTGTACTTGAATAGTACCAGAACTACTACGGAGTTTCCAAGCAGACCAAATAGAAAGACCAAGGAGTAGAGAGGGGGCAGGAAGAGCCTCCCAAAGGCCCTGATGCCTTCTTTTGTGCATGGCTTGGGAATACTTTCAAAGAGGTAGTAATTGTTATAGATGCTTTCATCCAGGGTGGTGTCCGCTATATCTGTAGGGTTCATTTTCAAGTGGACAGGCTCCTCAAGGCAGGTGTGAGCCCAGCCAGAAGCTAAGGAGGGGAAAAACAAACAAGTTTTCTTAAGAACAGAACCAAATGAAGACAGTGCTGCCTGCAGAGCTCAGCTGCCCAATATTTTTCCCCAGATCATTATATACCTGCACTGCCAACCTCTCCAGGTTGAAGGCTCAGCTGTTCACAGGGCAGTGCAGCCCAATGAAATAAGCCTTCCCTTCGAAATCAAACAATGAAATAAGCTCCTCCCTTCAGGGGGAGCATTGGTTCTCTCATTTGTAAGTGGGGACAGTAAAGCCTCCTTTTCAAGGAGGTGGTTTTCAAGGATATATTTCTAAAAGATAGTCAAGTTACCAAAATCACTTGCAGGAATGACAAGCCCAGTTAACACCCCACCAGTACTGTACCCAGGGCCTTTCTGACATAAATGCAAAAATAATAATAATAATAAATAAAAAAACTATGTGTCCCCTTCAGGTTGTAACTCCAAAACTCCAGAAATTTTTGCTTAGGTAATCCTTAGGCTAGAGAGAAGCCAGGTTAGTCCCTTGCCTTTATATAAAAATTCTAATTCCTCCAGCATGCTTTGCACTTTGTGGATTTCCAAGCATGTTCACCAGTATTGTGCATTTAATCCTGTCCTCACCCCAACCCCCCAACAAAAATCTGGGACTTTCGGTCAAGCAAGCATACTGAACCATGGTGTGGATGACTCACAAAAGATTCAGAGAAGTTCAGTGACTTCTGAAGACCACACAGCTATATTCAGAACTTGTGTTTTGGGGCCCCAAGTCCCCGTGGTGTGCTGATAAACCAGATCTGGGGAGAAAGGTGGGGTACTCTGGTTGATGGTGTTTGCTGGTTTCTGTGGTATAAATACTTCCACCATGGCCAAGTTCAAGCTACCAGCTGCCTCACAAAATTCCTGAATATTGAACAATCTACTCCTGGGAGTCAGTGCAAATCAGCTGTGGCATGCACTGCCAAAGCCCTGTTCATTCCAGAGCATGTCATAGGCAGAAGCATGCCAGGCCTCCCAGGCCCAGGTGGCTAGTTGCTCCTGGGCCAATCTGACACTTCTGCAGCAAATGTGTCTTTAAGGCCCTTGGGAAGGTTGCCATCCATGCTCAGGTAATACACAGTTCTCAGATGGCAATCTGAGGGAACACTGTGGTCTTTTCATCAAAACCACATATAAAAATCAATCCTATGCACTGAATCTTATCAGAGTGGGAATTAGCCTGACAGACCCAGAAAAGGCAGAGATAAAATCTCTACGTCCCCAACCACCCTCATTTCCTATTTAAACTGGCACATGCGGTTAAAACTCTCCTAAAACTATATACAAGCTCACAACCACCCTCATTTCCTATCCAATTGGCAGGTGAAGTTAAAACCTTCTTAAAGTCACATACATTTTCACATGTGAGTGCAAACAATTCAGGGATGGAGGGCTTTTTGACTCCAGCCCAAGTCCTCTTGCTTCTTTCTTTATGGTACCCCGCCGTTCCTCACTGAACCCTTTTTACCTTGTTGGGTAATGCACATCACCTCCCTACCACCCACCCTCACCACCACACACACCCAAACACCCAGACTGTGTGTTTCTCAATGCAGAGATTTTGGTTTATTCCTCAAACAGGTTCGGAACACCTGGCACATTGCAGGGTCTCCAAAAGAGTTTGTTAAATGAATAAAATTCTAGTCCTTCTCCACGATTTCACCAGTGAAATTACAGGAATAAAAGAGGCCGAGGAGTCAGCAAACTAGCAGGAGAGCAAGCACAGCTGGTAGACGTTTGGAATCATTCTGTGGACTTCATCCGCATGGCGCTTCCTGACCCGGGAGTCTTGATAGAAGCAAGAAGCAGAAAAGTGTATGGGTTTGGTGAAAACATCTGTGTATTCTGAGTATGCAGACCTCAGCCAGATGTGTGCAGGGAGAGAGCCCTGCATATATGAATGCCTGTCAGATGGGGGCTTGCAGGGAGTAAGTGCAAGCAGATCATGCGTGAACACTAGGATAGGAGCCACCGGCGAGCAGAACACATGGGATATCGACGTTGGCACTGGGTAAGCAGCTGGCCAGCTTTCAGTGCTCCCAAGTCCATACTCCTGTCCAGAAAGCAGTTCCCTGGCCCCAGGCCCTGGGAATGGCCCCATCCCCACTTACCTTGCTCTCCTGAAAGTGGCTCTGAGGAAGGTCTGGGGAGCAGGGCCAGGACTGCTCAAGAAGTGCAGCGTTAGGAACGACATGTGGCTTTGAAGGGCAAGTGGCTTCCTGTGAGCACCAACTCTACTCATTTATCTGTGCTGAACGCAAGTGGGTTTTTTTGATAGAAGTAAAATGCAGAATATGAGTGAGTAGTCACTCCTTTCCCCAAACTGAAAGCTAATAAGGTCGGCTTTCTGCTAGATTAAGGAGGAAAATGAAGTAAGTTTTTAAAAAGAAAAAATTTTAAATCTTCCAAATTTATTTGTTGGATTTTTAAGGGAAAAAAATTTCTTTTAGTCGGCTATATGCAGTAGAAATGATCTCCATGTTCTGGAGTGGGCTGTTTATTTCCCCAGCATGGACGATAAGATTCTCCCAACACGTGGGATCTAAGGAGGTCAGAGTGAGGGGCTAGACATACTCAAGAAAATGGATATTCAGTAGAAGAGAGAAAAATTTATCCAAGTGTGTGTGTCTGGGAGTGACTTGGAGGGATCAAGTTAGCCAAGTTCAATAATCAGCATGGCCTCAATCTTGTGCTAAGTGACATGACAACATCGCTCAAGCCCCTTTTGCAACAGAAAGACCTCTTCCCAAACCCCGGCTACTTAGAAATTGTGGAGCTTCTACCGACAGTGATCTTGGCTGAGAGTCTCTTTTGAGTCCGCGGAGCCATCCAAGCAAGAGCTGACATCAGACCAGTCTTTTGTATATCGTATACTCAACTTCTGCCAGCTTCCAGATGTTTTCCCTCTCTGTGTCTGCAGTTGCTCAGCTCTGGTTCAGTTTAAAAGAGCCACAAATATCACTTTTCCTGAGGAATCTTCATGAATAAACTAAAAAATTGAGTGGGTGCAGTGTTTATCAAACTTTTTTTTTATTATCACCCTTCTTAAGGAAGCTTTTCAGATAAATCTGTTTCACCATCTCCCCATGAAATGTCAATGCCACAGAAAAACTGTATATCTGTTTATGTAGTGTATGTGTATCTGTGCTTCATACATAAAAAGAGTAATTATTTTCACCCCCAAGAAATGATTTTTGCTCCTTGAGGGCACTATTGCCTCTATTAAGAATGCAGGAGTTGTAGTAGTCATTCCCCACCTGGTTCTTTGCGTCCCCTCTGCCTTGGGTCCCAACAAGACATGTAGAGCAACATCTGGAGACATTTTTGTTCAGGGTGGGAGAAGTTGTTTCTGGCTCCTAACAGGAGAGGCTAGGAATGCTGCTAAAATCGTACAACGCAAAGGACAGCCCTTCACAATATAGGATTATCCTATATTGTGCCCTTAGCATGGTGCATGGTACAGATAGTGCTCAACAATGGTACCAGCAGAGAAAATTAGGATAATGTCAATCACGCTGATGCTGAAAAACCCTGAGCTGCAGCACTGTTCCCCAGTGCGTGAACTGTGGAACCAGGTTCACATGTATCCTGCAAAAAAGAATAGAGATCTGTGGTCAAATAAGTTTGGGGATTGCTGGGCATGGGCTCAGGTTAAACACATTTTTCACTGTAGTGCTTCCTGGGGGCTTTCCAGCACTATCATCTCTGTGAACTCTGGAAGAAGAGAAAGAATAAAAATGGCTCAAACAATGTGGCCAGTGAATCTACACTCATGATACAGAGTAATTGATAAAATGAACATGTTTTTAGGGGTACAGAGCCTAAGGAAGATTCCACCATGGAATTACAGACCTTGAGGCACCAGTTAGACTGCTGGAGCTACACAACGAAAGGTGTGAAGCACATGCTTCCCGAGGCCCTGGGCAAGCCCACCTGAGCAAGTGCAGGAGTCTCCATGGACCCTGGCCTGGTGGGAGGAGGGTTACGGTTCTAGAACAGGTGATTCCTAAGGGTCCAAACCATCATAAGTGATCATAGAGCATGGTGGGTCTGGAGATGATCCCTGGAAAGCCAGTTAGCATGCCCTTAGCCAGTCCTGCCCATGTGACAGGTGTTAGTCCCTGAAGGACAGACATCATGAGCCCCGACTGCCCTGATGGTTGAGAGCATGGGTCAGGCCTGCTCAGTCTGGGTTTGGAGCTCAGTGCTACCGCTTACTAGCTGTGTGACCCTCAATTTTCTCTTCTGTGAAAAGGGGTGATAACCATGAGGACTGGGGGATGGTTAATGGCTAAAGTTTGTAAAGCCCTTAGCATGGTGCATGGTACAGATAGTGCTCAACAATGGTACCAGCAGAGAAAATTAGTAGGATAAATCAAATGTACAGTAATAGCTTTTTCTCTTGAAACAGCTGACCTTGGCCTATTGAAATATGGGAAATATTTGCATGTAAACTCAGTGGACCACATTCAATTTCTGAGTCAGTGTCAGGTTAAAAGCAGGTTTCAGGTTTCCAAATTGCAAAGATTACTGCCCTGGAGAAAGTCAGTCTTCAGATTTGCAGAATACTACTGATGCCGGGGTACTTGTTTGCGGAGTCAAAGAATGTACTTCACAAACACTCAAGGTAGGAGAGCAAGTGAGAAGCTTTTATTTAGAGATAAAGTGAGAGGACAGAGCTCCTGGCTCAGGCCAGCGGGGGACAAGAGAGTCCCAGGGTGGTGTATTGTCTAGGGGATGTATAGGTGGTTGAGAGGCAGAGGGCTAGGGATGCTGACCAGCTAAGTGGTCCCAAAATGTTTATCTTTGAAGAGACATTAAGTTTCTTATTAGTCTTCTGGGTTATTTACAAGAAATTTACTGCTCTGATTTCCTCCCAGGATAGCAGCTTCCTGGTCTAGAAGCATACCAATCAAGACTGCCTGCTTTGCTCCCAAGGTGGGCTTAGATACTGTCTGTTTGTTAAAGAGTATCTTAAGAAACTTAATTTTTAACTAATTGGATTTTAAATTTATCTTTAAGATGGAATCCTTCCTGTTTTTACTGTGTTGTTTTGGGCTTGCTTGCTAAATGGCCCAGGTTGCAAATCACTTGATTAGGGCTGTAGGAGGAAAAGCAGCACCTGGATAAAGTAAAAAAATAAGCTGGGTCCTCCAGCAGGGCAAAGCAAATCCCACAGTGGATTATTTTACTTTTTTTTTTCCAGAGGCCCTCACCCTACTCTGTCAAAACCCACAGTCCCTGTCTCAATACTTCTACTGTCCTGGAGAAACACTAAATAGGTTTTTCCTCCAGGAAAAGTTTCAAAACTTAACAATACTCCTAACCCCAAAAAGGATCGAATTTTTAGTAATGCCTGTTTCTTAGTTGGGGAAATACCCAGAGAGAGGAGGTAGGGCACTCAAGGCACCACTGCCAGAGACACAGAGCTAAAGCCTACACTCCCGACCATTCCACTGGACTGAGTTTCTGGAACCTGACCAAAGAGGGGCAGACCAACAAAAAATATCCAGATCACCCTCCCCCACCCCCTACAAAGCAAGGTCGTAAGCAGCGCATGAAGGCATTCCAGAAGGAAAGCAATAATGTGAGGCTCCAGCGCCCCCTAGTGACCAAGTTTTATTTCAACACCAAAAACATCAAAATGCCCACCATACTAATCCACAGGGACCAGCCTATCTGACACTGGAAGCCAAAAATTCTCGAGGTCTTCAGGAAGAGCTCCACTGTCCACTGGACTCACCTGCAGAGCAGCAACGGTAAATCATTCCAGATTTGGTGTCACACCTGTTACTTTCAGTTTAAAATGAGAGGAAGCTACCAGGTAGGGATACCCAGAGCACAGTACCCAAGGACAGTAACAGTGACGTGGAGGAGCAGAGAGCAGCTTATGTATGGCCAGTGGGATGGGGTTCATTTTCATGAGCTCTCTGTTGACTGGTTAATTGAATAATTTGGGGGCTGTCCCTCATGGCCTGGTACCTGGGCTCAGGGCCTTTAGAACTGGTGCATAGTGGCCCCAGAGACTGAGAGGATGAGAAGGGAAGTGACTGGGATGGACCTACCTGCTCAAAAAGGAGAAGTGATGGGCCCTAGCCAGCACCTAAAACTGGACCAAGACAGCATTTAAACAGACTAAATTATGGGTGAAAACTGAATAAACAGACAAAACTTTGGGAAGGAAATATAAGTGTGCAAATTACAAACTGATTTTTTCAAAGATAATTGAAAAATATCTGCACATTTGAAAATAAGAAAACACATTTTCATATACCCGAGATGTCAAAAAAAATATAATGGAAAATAAAAAGCACTTATAACTGAATGATAATAAAATATAATTTATCCAAAATTGTGGCATGCAGCTAAAGTGGCCCTGAGACGATCACTTAGACCTGAAATGTTTATAGTAGAAGAGAAAGAATGGCTAAAAATTAATGAAAAGTGTTCAACCAGAAACAGAAACAGTAGTAAAAGGAATGGTAGAATAAACTCAAAAAGGGCATAAGAAAAAAAATAATGAGAGTAGAAATTAAACAGAATTGAAAGTCATAGACTCATTAAGGTATTTGAAAATACTAACAAAATTGACAAGACTCTGGGAAGATAGGTAAAGAAGGAAAAAAGTAAACTATCTTGAAAATGCAAAAGGAGAAATAAATACAGAGCAGAAGTGAGAAAGTAAGAAATATTATGAATGACTTTAGCACAATGACTTTGAAAACTTAGGTAAAATGGATAAATTCCTAGAAAATACATCTTATCAAAATGGCCCCAAAAGAAATATAAAACCTAATTTACAATCTTTTTAAAAATTAAATGAGTGGTTTAGATGATTTGCACAAAAACCAAGTAAAAAGACTCGGGACAGATATTATAGGGAAATTCTATCAAACATTCAAGATACAAATAACTCTAATCTCATGTATCTTTTCCCCTCAGAATTAAAAAAAAAAAGCTCCTGAGCTCATTTTATGAAGTGAGTATAACGTGGATAACAATCCAGACAGTAGGAAAAAATTAAATTACTCAATTTCACTCGTGTTGATGTAAATATCCCATATAAAATATTAACAAACCAAATTCACTAAAGTTGAAAAATATATAACAGTTAAGTTAGTTCATTTCTGAAGTGCAAAGTTGGTTTAATATTCTATTAATGTAAATGATCATATTAACAGAAAAAAAGAAAACCTATCTGATGCAGAAAAAGCATTGAATAAGAAAAGCACTATTCATGATCTGAAAAAATTAAAACTTAGGACATTAAGAACAGAAGGGAACTTCTTTAAATTTATAGAGAAACTCATCAACAAACATACTACTTAAATGTAAACAGCAAAAGTCATTCTTTTTAAAATCAGGAACATGACTAGAATGCCCCACCACCAGTTCTATTAAAGCTGGTAGAAAAAGACAAGAATGAAAAATAAAATATATAATGAATTCCACAAAGTTGCAGGATACAAACTCAATACACAAAAATCAGTTGCATTTCTATACACTAACAATGAACAATTTGAAAAAAAATTAACAAAATTCCACTTGCAATAGCATCAAAACGAATAAAATTCTTAGGAAGAAACTTAAAGAGGTGAAAGACTTGTACACTGAAAGCTACAAAACATTGTTAAAAGAATCTAAAGAAGACACAAATTAATGGAAAGACATGCCATGTTTGTGCATTGGAAGACTTACTATTAAGATGTCAATATTACCCAAAGCAATTTACAAATATAATGCCATC